GTCTATAGTGTATGACTTGTAGGGAGGGAGCACTGCATCATCGCAGCTCGGTTAGAGATGAGATTAGGCCTAGGAAAGCTCTATAAAAGAAAAAATTTATTAACATAATCCCTTTAATTATCTTTTGGGTGATTTGGAAAGAAAAAAACGGTAAGACTTTGGAAGGGGTGGAAAAGAAGATTTAAAAATTAAGAGATGAGTGGTTTCATTATTTTAGATCCATTTTCCTGGATCATAACATTCTTAGGGTGGAGACTTTAGTGTATACAGTTGATACTTTGATAAATTTGTAAATATCTGTACATGCGCGGTACCTCTTCGGTACCATTGATTCTTCCAAATACATTCACAGTTTTATATTAAAAAAAAAATTACTTAACGGACAAAATAAGAATTGATTGAAAATTAAGTAAATAACATAGTGAATGAGAATGCATTTGGACAATAAACAGCTGAATTTTCTTTCCAGTATTCAGAGAAATATATTCTCAACCATTTTACTAGTATCTCGTTTAAAGAGTCATGTTAAGTATAAAACTATACCAACCACTATCATATTTATCTTAAAAAGCAAGATTCAATATGCTTTAAGGCTAACAACTGTCTACATAGCTCCTCTGTTTGCTTTCTCAGGATTTAGACTTTCTACTAAGGCAAAAGAACTAGAGGTAAAAATGAAAAAAGTAGAGGATTTAAAAGCAGAAAAAAAGTGTGACCTGAGTCTCTTGGCTTGTTATAAAAGTCATTGTCTTCTTTGTCTCTGATCACGTATGATGTTATGTTCATCCCAGATTGGACATGAACATGTTGCTTTCTTATTTTTCCACAGAGCTCCACAAGTATAGCAGAACTCGTATCCACACCTTCTCCAATAAAAGAATCACAATTAGTAATAACATGTTGAAAATATACAGAATCTCTAGTACTGCTGTGTTATCAAGCTTTCACTTTGGGATTCAATTTCCATGTTATTAGGGAAAAAGAATAGTACGACATACACTACAACTGAAAATGCATAACAGAAAGATCTAACATCAACAATAAAAACAACCAGTCCGAGCACCTTGAAGGAAGGAATAACTACAATGAAGTTGTTTGCCGCCATGAGAAACAATAAGAAAAAAGTCTACATGGATTCCACTTTTCCCACCTCAGTGATGAAATATTGACTCGTTTTATCATTAGTAGCTTTCTTATAACACTAAATAACCATTTCTTTTCTTTTATAAACAATAGAGACTAATTATAATATAGGTCAATATACCTGCAAGTGATGTGGTAGCAACCTTCGGATAGTTCAAACATATGATTACACTTCACACACTGGCGCCATAGTTTCCATTTTGCAAGAGACTTCGACATTGCATCTTTAGTTTTGTTATGAGAATTTGACCTACTGTAATCATAACAGGTCATATTGTGATGGCAAGGAGCCTTGCAGTTAATACAGAAAAAGAAACCACCTTTCATGCATTTTCTTTCTTCAGTATGCTCAGCACCAACACAAAAGAGATTTGTATGCCTTAGCACCTCAATCTTTGACATTAATGCTGAACACCTAGGATATGGGCAGTAGACTTTCTCAGTTGCAGCGATAGAAGCTTCCTTCATGTGCTGGCCCATGATCTCAACCAATTTTGGATCCAAGAAACTTCCACAAGTATCAATATTAATCTCAATTTTACACCCTTCATGAGGGCAAGTGGCCACTATCCCATTAAGAAATTTCACTTCTACATGCTGTTTCATACAAGAAAAGCAATACCTATGATCACAGCCATCCACGGAAAACATCTTTTCAACATCAATATCTTCAAAACAGATTACACAAGTCTCATTCAAACTCTCGCCTTTACTACTTTCCACAGGCAATGCAATTTAAGAAACTATAGTATCTCTTGCAAATTTGAATGCAAACTTAATATTACTCAATGTGACAAGAGATAGCCGGCAAGATATAAATTTTTTTGAAGAAGAACAACCTGATTGATTAATGTAGCAATGCTGCTCTCTCTTGGTTCCACTCTTCCTGTAGCCTAAATTTATAAAAATGTGACACCCCCCTTCCCAATAAAAAATAAAAAATTTTAACTGTTAGAAACATGAACTTAGAGAAATACAAATTGGACTAGAAATAAATTCAACAATCATTCTGAATTCACACCAAGAACTCAGCAAACAATTTTTTTTTGTTTAAAAAGAACTCAACAAACAATGCCAATGAATTTGACTTGCCAAAAAATTTCTGCATTTTTTGAGCACCCTTCGCCGTAGGGCTTCTCGTAATTATCGTCCTTTCTGCCATAACCCTCAGGAATCCGCGATATTTCGCTCGCAAATTTCGTCTCGTGAACCCAACGCTCTAACTCCTCCTTCGTCGTCCGGCGAGTCTCCTTCTGCAAGAGCTGGCAGTCGACGATTTCTCTCTGGAAGTCGGCAACCGCGAACTTCCTGTCGTTATCTTCGGCTTCGTGTTGATGATGGTGGTCTAGCGGCGGTGGTTGGGGAGAGGAGGTGTGGAGTGCGAGAGAGGCGGTTAGGGCTTCCTACAGTTGGAGGCGGAACCCGATGTCGAAGTCGGATTCCAGGGAATGCCCCACTATGATCTCCCGGAATTTCTGCGCGAGTATAAAGTAGAGTTCTTCCCGGTCAGCTGAAGTTTGTTCTCGTGGTCCTCGATCTCGACATGGGATTTGGGTACGAAACCGTGCGTTGGTCCTTGTGTATCGCTCGTGCAGTTTCTGGTGTCGTTTGTGCTTTGCTGAGTCCTGCAAAATTTGAAATTCAAAACAACGGAGGAGAGACAGGATCCCATGCGGTGCAGATTCATGATAATCCAAGAAGGCGAGGACCAAGACCAATTGACTTGAACTTTGACTACGTTTGTTTGACTTTACGAACCTTCAGCGAATGCCCACAGGATGAACGAAACTAATTCGTCATGGGCCCAGCCTAAACGACCCGTTTTGATTCAATTACTTAATATATAAACTTACATTATTTTTTGTTTTAATTGTAATTGAGCTAATTTTACTCCTCCTGAAATAAAAAAAATTAATTTCTGCTAAAAATAAGTTTAATAAATCAGAGATTTTTTTTTTTGTAACTCTTTTTCAAAATCTCAATTTAATAATCAAAATTAACTAATTTAATATTTAAAAATTAATTTTTTTTAAACACATTTTATGTATATAAACAAGAAGTTCCAGAAAACCATTTTTGGTATATTGGTCAAATAATTCGGGGATAATTTGTAGATAACATTTCATCCACTCTAATCCAAGATTGGTTGACTACTTTGAAGATTCTCCTACAATTAGGTTTTATCTAATTGAATTTGAGTTTAATCTTTATAATATACAAATATACATGCATATTATAGTAAGTATGTGACTTAACTTGCATGCATATAGATTAGTTTTGTATATATATATATATATATGCTTGATATATTTCTTCATCTGTACATAGAACATATGAAGATAAAAAAATGAACTAAATGAAGACTTTCATTCATCCTTTCTCCCTTCCCTCTCTTCTTTCTCTCTCTCCTCCTTCCCTTCCCGGTCTCCCCTCACAAGCACTTACCACACCCACCAAGAAGAAACGTAGCGATATTGTAAACGGCAAGAATTCATCAAAGCACACTGTTCAAACTATCAGCTTGCAGCACGTATATATACACATATAGAGAGAGAGAGAGAGAGAGAGTATACCTACACAAATATATTATATATACAAACATAAAGATTTTGCCTAAAAAATTATCATACCCACACAAATATATTATATATACAAACAGAGAGATTAATAGTTGCCTAAAAAATTATCCTGGACAAAAATAAGAGTCCAAGAGGAGTGGCAACAAGAAGAGGGTATAGACTCGAGAGCCCTACAAAATCAAAATATCATATGCATTAGAGTTTACCAAAAAGGATAATCCGAATCAGAATCATAGTACTCCGAGTCGTCAAAGTCATCTTCATTCTCATCGTCATCAAAATCTCTATCATGATCAAACCAGATATTATCCTCATGCCATAATGGACAAGAGCATGTAGCCTTCTTATCTTTCCATTCAGCTCCGCAGTTATAGCAAAACTCATACCCGCACCTACAAAGAAGAATAGAAGCACAAGAGCCGGTGCTTATTTGCTCAAGGCCAAACCAAGTTACTTGGCAAATCTGATATCGGTGCATGTTAACATGTAATTACATGTTTCTTAGTTTGTTGATTTATGATTGTGATGGCTATACACGACCAGAACAAAGACTCGAGTCTTCCAAGTTTATAGAGTAAGAAAATAGAAGTTGGAGTTGTGGCTTCACATCTTTCCTACTAAGGCTATCTTTCGAATAAAGTTAAAAATATTGTAAAATTATTTGTAAAACATTTTAACTGTGCGACGATAAAATTTAAATTCATTACATACAAGAAATATAAATCATAACTAACTCCTATGTGTTATTTCAAAAAAAAAAATAACTAGCTCATATGTATCAAAGAATTAAAATCCAAAAATTGAATAGAAACAGAATTCAAGTCAATCGCACTGTCAAGAGAAAATAATTTTTTGAAAAAAAAAAAAAAAGAACTGGTAGTTACCTGCAAGTCATATGATAACAACCGTCAGAGAGTTCTATCATATGCTGGCATTTCACACACTGGCGCCATAGATTAACTGATGCAAGGGACTTAAGTTTCATTTCCTCTGCTGGGGGATTAGGATTCCTCCTTTTGTACTCTTCACATGTCATGCTACTATGCCAAGGAACCTTGCAATTGATACAGAGTAGGCCATGGCATTTCAAGCATTTCCTGGCTCCAGACCGAGCAGCACCAACAAAAGCATTTTTAGCATATTCTGAA